CGTTCATTTTTGGCAGGTACCTCTGTTTTATCACCAGGAAGGCCGTAGAAGGGTGGGAGGCCAGCAATTGTTTCAGCAACCAATTATATTCCTCCGGGGCCCTCCGACGCCCGTTTTTCTCACTTCCAAGCCAATGTTGACCACCCTAGGGTCACTTTCTTCAATCCTAACCCCCATATTTGTGTTGTACACACATGGGAGGACACCAAAAGTTGGTGGCCAACCAGTAATTCCACCTGACCCTTTTGAACCCTTCCTAAAAATGGCCTATTCTCTCTCCTGTTTTATAGTTGACAATTTTGAACCACAGGGCTGTGTTGAGGGCATCTGGGAGGACACCAATTTGTAGTGGCCGGCCATTAATTCACCTTGGCCCTTTTGACCCTTGGCCGGCCGGCCATGGGGGGTGGCCGGCCGGCCATGGGGGGTGGCCGGCCGGCCACCTGCAGCTCCAAAACCTGGCCGGCCTTGCTCCTCAGGGTGTGTATATTCCAGCTGTACACTTTTCCCCCCCCCAAAAATCTGCATCCAGGGGGAACAACTTTTGCACTGTGCACTTTACAGCTGTGGAGCTTTATCCCCCAGAAAAGATCTTTATCCGGGGGATATTTTGTGGGGGAAAGTTACTCTCCTTTTCCCCCACCTTTACACCCCCTCTTTGACCCTTATAACCAGCTGGTGGCCTCATTTGTTGGGGTTAGAAAATTTGGTCTTCAAGCCTCCATACACAAGTCCATCTCTATCCTTCTCATTTCCTTGAAAATCTCTAAGTCCCTAAGCTCCATTCCATCTCTATACCTCTCATTTCCTTGAAAATTTCTAAGTCCTTAAGCACCATTCCTTCTACACCACCAAGCTCTACCTCCACCACCTCATTTCCAGTAACAAGGAAGGCTTCTCAAAGGCCAAAGAAGCTGCAAATTGATCCAAGAAGCAACAAAAGTCTTAGTCTTCAAGGGTGAGTAACATTTCTTCACTTTGACCCTTTTTCTTGATCTATTTGTAAGCCCCACGTGATTTTTGTTTCAAGCTCCGGCCAACTGAAAAGGGCCCTATTTTGAGCTCATCTTCACTTTTCATTAAGGGCTCAACCCTGTTTGAGCCCTCCATGATACACTTGCTTCATTGATCCTCTTATATGTCATAATCTTGCATGCTATTTTTGGCCCATGATTAATTTGTTTTTGAGCATGATGTAATCTGTAAATATGCTTATTTTAGGCCCTTCTTCAACATTGTTGAAGGGCCCTTCACCATTTGGTGCCTCCATGTGTCACTTGTAGTTATATCCCTTATTTGGCCCCATTTTTGCATAAATTGGTAGCCCCCTTTGCTTCTCTTTTTGGCTTTTTCACAGAACTGAAAATGGCCTTATTTTGGCCTATACTTCATGTTTCATTAACACTTTTTTTCTGTTTGGTGATTATTTTGTATACTTCATGTTATAGCACCTTTTGAGCCTCAATCTTGTGCCTTTTTTTAGCATGTTTGTATATTGATTCGAGGCTTGCCATATACTGTAAACGTTCATATTTTTTATCCCTCTTCAATGTTGTAGAAGGAAATTTTTCAGTTTGGGTTTTGCTTATATCACTTGCTTCATTACCCCTCTCTTGGCCCCTATTGCCTTGCACATGGA